CATTTATGGTTTGATTTTTTTGTAAGTATGGATCACTTGGGTTGTTACCGACATCTGGTGAAAATTTAATGCCATTAGCACCTCTAGTAATATACTGTATATATTTATATACACACACACACACACACACGCTGGACTTGGCCTGAAAGTGTGAACAAACACACCACACACCCTCCCCTTGTTCTTTGCTGTGTTTCAGACTGTCATGATCTGTATTTATTCTCCTTAGTTTTCCTAGTGTTTTCTATGTTCCCCAGTGTGTCCTWGCCCAGCTGCTCCTTGTCAGTCTGATTGTCACCCTTGTGTTTCTCCTCAGGTGTTTTCTGTTTAGTCATTAGTTTTCTGTGTATTTAAATCCTGTCCTGTCTCAGTCTTGTGTCGGATCATTGTGTTGTGTTCTGTCTACCTGGTCGTGTCCTGCTTCATGTTCTTTGTCTACTTCCAAGTCAAGTGAGTTTTTGCTGTATTATCAGCCTCTTTGAGTTTTTCATTAAAGGCCTTGTGCTTTTTTGATTTTTGAAACCTGCCTGTACCCTGGGTTATTTTGTCAGTCCTGACACAGACCTCCTTCCACAGGTCCTTCCCATGTAGAAAGGCTTGGAAAAATTTACTTATCTGAAAAAGAAACCTAAAGAATGTCTTAGAATTACTCTTTTGATCAGTACTAATAAAAAACTTGATTTTTAATAACAAAATTTAAAAATTGGGGATTTTCCCTGTGAAGAAGCAAAGTTTTCTTTTGATTCATGATGGGAATTATATTCACTTTACATTTGAGGTTTCCAATTTATAATAACATCAAATGTTCTTCTTACAATTATAAAAAGTCTGTTTCATACATAATTTTAAAGAGTGAAACTGTTGATGACTTTGAGAATAAGACAATATGCAAACAAAACTGAGAAGGAAAGTTGCAGTGGATATTTCAATGTTGTTCCATTTTATTTAACATAATTTACACTCCAAAATAGACTTAAAAACTAGAGGTACAAGGCCAAAACAGGAGGGAGCAAGGGCAAATGTGGTAGATAACTCCACGCTTAGTTAGCAAAGAAAAAACAAATTAAGAACATGAATGAATAAAACAGAAACAAAATAAAGTTGTGTGACGTCAAACATTTCTTCTCCTACAACCGTTTCTTACAACCTGTGCACAGGTTTTAGAGCACACTGCCACCTGCTGGTCCGTAAAGGAACAGCACTTTGCTGCGCGCCACCGCGCGTCAACGATAAACACAGCGGCGAAACTGTAAACGCAGAAGCCGCACGGCTCAGTGCGCTCACACTCCGCACGCTCGAGCCCGTGGACCAAAGCGCGAATATATCTCAGGCTTGAGAGCTTTTCCTGTCACGTTAGCGTATCTCTGTGCCATTAGCACAGCTGCAGCCCACTGATGTTAAGCTTGATCATGGGTATGCACTGTGTGAGGGAGTAGCTTGAACAGTTTGTACCGGAGCCTCACAGGCATTGATTCCTCTGGCTCTCATGGCTGTTTCTGACTGGGACTGGTGTTTTTTCACACATTATTCATCTCAGATTCTACCTAGGACAGGTTTAACAAATACAACCCCTGGCAAAACCTATGGAGTCATTTTTATTTATTATAACTTTTGTCAGATTCTAGTTATTTCTGTGGCTATTGTGGGTTTTTCCATCATTAAGCGATGGGTACCTATAACTGTGTCCATGTGTGAGATCTGCTCCACGCCTCTTTTGGTTCTGCACTGCTGGATTCATTTCTGAAGGCATACATGTGAGCAGGACCTGTCCATCTTGTCCTGTGACTTTATGAATGACCCAAGAGAGCTTAAAGCTGGACTGGTCTGTGCAGTGGTTTCATGGAAATGTTTTGTGAAAGAGGTTTAAGAGTTTCATTAAAATGTGCGCAAGGGGGTCATGGATGAGATAGTACGCTAACAAATTGAAATCAAAACAGTTAAAGCCAAAGTTTTAATAAGAAATGTCCCACAGTGATTGCTGTCAATGCTAAAATCAAATTAATTAGAGCTTATTATATTGAAACTAGCCTGAGTTGTGTTTTCCTGAGATCACTTTGCTGTAGCAGCCATCATATTTGATGTAAATCATATTTTAGTTCTGCCTCAGTTCCTTGAACGGACTTCTCTTCTGTTTCCAGGTCAGTTTGCAGACTCTGCAGCCATTTGCTGAATTTGGTCGGCACTTTTGTGCCAAGTCGTTTGCCACCCTTATAACATACCGAGAGGCCATCTTCTCCTCCCTGCAGGTTAGTGGATCTTTTGTCTCCTGATATTATTGTATTAGACACATAAGAGAAGTGGATCCTCTGGATTGTCCAGATAACTCATGTAGTTGGGAGAACAAATTTATTCCTATGTGTTAGATCAGGGGTGTCCAAACTTTTTTTTAGTGAGGGCCAAATACAGAAAAAAATAAACAAAGGGCCGGGCCACACACTACAAATGACATACTGATACTCACTTTCTCTATTCGAACCATCCTTCACGGAGTTGGTCTTTGCATGGGTTGGGGGGGGGTGATAAAGTTGTATCGAGGGGGTTTTAAGGTCAGGTGAGGGGTTGGTTAACTGTCCTTCACCATTTTCTGTAAAATAATGAAAACAAATGGATCAGTTTTACTGTAATAATTAGATACAGTGGGGAGAACAAGTATTTGATMCACTGTTGATTTTTCAGGTTTTCCCACTTGCAAAGCTTGTAGATGACTGTAATTTCTATCATAGGTACTCTTCAACTGTGAGTGATGGAATCTAAAACAAAAATCCAGAAAAATACAATGTATGAT